ATTCCATTGGATTTGAATTGGTAATCGATTTGTTCATATCTAGAATAAGAAAAATATATCGACACTAAAATAGGTGATGACAACAGAAAAGTTAGTGATTTTGAGAACCAATTAATTACACTTGATTTTATGAATATTGCGTAAGCCCTAAGTTGAGTGCTAACAACTTTCGATGTCTTGGAAGAAGAGTCAGTAATTTTATGCACCGATATGATGTTAGGATCCGCTTAATCTTAGCTCCTCTATAATTTACTCCTGGCAATCAATATTGTATGCCGTAATGGGCGGTGATGGTTAAGGATGATTAAAACATCTAATCGTCTTAGCTGATGAAAGTTCATAGCCTTGTCATCAGTAGATTTATTCTTTCTACCCAGTACAATGAGTATCATGTCAGTGGTCCTACAACTTGCCACCAGGGCTCTGAAGATACATATGATCAAATACCTGAGGTGTGTGTATATCTACTTTCACAGGTTATTTTGTGGTTGCATAATAATGCAGGGCGGATTGCTGGTTTTGGTTGGAATTTGTAGATAGTGGCTAAAATCTGAGTATTTGAATCCCAATGTCAAATTGTAGCAGAGATAGTAACATATAAGCTTACGTGCACAATGCTACCAAGGTGAATTATACTTAATCTTTTGAGGCAGTGAATCTTTATCGGCTGGGATGATTGGGACATGTATTAAGTGTACCTATGCACTGACTACCTTGACTCATGAAAGTGGCTAGTGTACGAGTAGGTTGAGAAAAAGCTAGAGGCTGCTAAATCAAGACGTGGCATCGGTGGATGAAGAAACTGACCGTCGGATTCAATCACGTAGGTAGGTTCAGACTACATAGTTGGAGTTCACGCCAACGTTTAGAGACTTTGAAATAACATGACTGAAGATGTTAACAATGGTGCAGGGACAATCATTCTTTGTATTCTTTCAAGTCCTAAACTTCTAAATCCATCATATGTTTTCTTTTAATTATTTCACTAATATGTAATTTCTTCTCGAATTACATCTTAGATACCTAATCTATTCGATTACCATTGATACTGTTACTACCTCTACTAATGAGATGTGTCATAGCAATTTCATTTCGCTATGCTAACGCTGCATGAATGCATTTGACTGACTTGGTCTCTTGCACCCAGATAGTTGGATCAAGTTAAATAAATTTATTCATCAAATGGTTATGAATTGATCATGTTTATCAATGTACCAAACTTAATTAAAAATTTATATACAATAAACATAGATGAACAATGTAGTTGGACAGGCAAGTAAACAGATTAGTAGAATCATTGTTACACGGAAATGTATGCAACTTTGAATATACCATCATTCAATGTCAAGCGTTCGTCTCAACAACAACAGGAAGAAGATATTTACTTTGCTGAACAATTTTATTATGATAAGTATAATGAACTACGTTAATATATAATATATAGACAAAGTATTTGATTCAATAACTAACTATATATATGGTTATTTTGACGAAACTTTAATATTTAAACTATCATTATTGAAACTTTCCCTGGAATTTTACAGTGACATCAGTCGCATCAACTTCAAAATAATCTATAAGGTTAGAATTTACAGAACACTACGAATTACCCAGAATTAGGAAGTGTTGAAAACTAAGTGATATACCTGACAACTGGTTGTAGTCTTTGCATATACGGAAGCTACTTACCTATCGGGTACATAATCATGTACTTGGCTTCGAGTCACACTATGCGTAACGGTTAATGATACTACATGGTCTTCTAAACCAAAGTAGCTAGAGTGGGCCTTGAATCTGCGATGTAATGGTTAAGTTAAGCGTCTTAATCACTAAGTTACCACTTCGAAAGTGTTTCACAATAGCATAGGTAGTATATATGGACTCATTCTTTACCTTCCTACAGATTTTAATTTTATACCATACTTTTTATCCCAGTCCTTCGAACCACTTTTACTACTTCTCTCTGACTACCGGTACTAGTTTACCCATTTCGCTATGCCGATGTCAGTTATGCCGCAGCTTGGACCGATCCAAGACATCCACTAGATATTATGTGGTTGATGTCCGGCCGATTATCTGCAAGACAGATGCAAATATTATTACACATTAGTTTATGTACAGTCTTGGTTGGTATACGTACCAATGTGGGGAACTAATAGTTGTTGCTAAGAGACAACTACCATGTTAAATGGTATTCATTCCCACTAATAACAGTATTTAAACACATAAACATTGGTACAAGAGGGCACCAAATATGTATGAGCAACATAAGTCATCCAATTTGCTTAAGGGCTGGGGAAGTGCCCGGGTTCCCGAACCGAAGCAGGTAGTTATCCTAAGGGGTCACGCCCCGAGCCTTCGACCTAAAGGACTAGTCCACAAGGCAGTGGAGCAATGAAAGGAGATGCAGTCCCATGGTAGCCGGTGGTCAACAATAGGTTCATACGCCAATTGTTTTCTTAGGATCCTCGAGCCCACAACGGCGTAGGTGTATACACTCTTTATCTTACATTAAGCCGTAAGATTAAAATTACTTTATGCCTTTCTTTCTACGAACCAATTCTTCCTTCCTGTATCATATCCTTATATGATATTTTTTTTCATATATTACTACCAGTGAAGTAACTGTTCCTATGAATTTGGTGTTCATCTTGTTGTGCTAATGAGGTAAGGTAACTTGGATATATATATATATATATATATATATATATATATATATATATATATATATATATATATATATATATATATATATATATATATATATATATATATATATATATATATATATATGCCTGGTCCTACGTTGTAGATGATTGAATTACTGATTTGACCGTTTGAAAAATACTAATAGGACAGCCAAGTTTCACATAAGATATGGTTCGTATCAAATTACAAGGCGGTAAATTCTTATTGTGCACATAGTGGATATAATTTAGATTTAACAAGTTTAAGAGAGAATAAAGCATTACATTCGAATAAAAGCACCAATTGAAATAACTAATGAGTAAAAATTCCCAGTGTAAAGTGAACAAGCATTAAACATTCGTTTCTTCCATTCAGCCAACATTGCAAATCGATGAAGCTTCGGTGCATCATCATTCGATAAGTGAAGTGGTCGACACGCTCAATTACTTTTCTCTATAAGATCAGTTCTGTGCAATGACCCATACCAATCCTACAGAGACACTGCATTTAAAAAGAGCAAAACGCATTTTAATCGTGTTTGCTTAGCTGATCAAGGCGGTTGAAAGAATGCCCCATGCCGGGTACTATCAAGACCGGATTATCATTCGCCTATTCAAAGTCAATAAGTGAATCTTCTGGCGGGAGATCTATAGCTCAGACGTCAAACAAAGTAACTTTTATCTCTAAACGAGTAACAGTGACAAAATGATATTAAGTGAAATAGAGTTTTGTTAGCCAGAATACGAAGTATAACAGTGCTTCTGCAGGCACAAAATAACTGAGATTAAAGATATCGAGAAATAGACTAAGTTGAAAATAACACATTTCATCTGAACGATACTTGCATCTAGGCAACAGGTATTGGAAATTGAAGCCGACCATAAATTACTTCGTAATGTGCGCAAATAACATCATCTTATTTGCCAAGAAAAACTGCATTACAAACTTATATGGTACTACATATGACGAAATGAAAGATGTTATGAAGAACATAAAACTATGGGGTCCAAAAACAAGGAATAGAACTGATTGCATTGAAGGAACGACGCACTTAAAGAGTATTTCAAGTTATCTTATTATTTGTCTATGGAGCTAAAAGAACCATAAATATTAACATGAATGACATCAGATGATTTTTTTACATCTTACTATCCTGACAGATGTGGTTTCTCAGACCGACTTACACATACACCAACTGCATCGTACCAAAGAAACCATGGACCAAAATATTTTTCGTAATATGGACCAATCACTAGTTTATTTTCCTTAGTCAATGCCATTCAGTACCTAAAATATTTAGTGAACATGCAGTTAGTCTAGATTCTTCTACATTCTTTTTACCACTACTGCCAAACACGAAATTGGAAAGAAAAAAGAATAAATTATTCAGAACCGTATACTACTTGACGGCCTAAGAATATTAATAATACAAAAAGAATCGTAGTTTAAAAGTACGACTCAAAAGGAACAAATGATATCAAGATATGAAAAATTAGGAATGATGCTTAACTCAAGTTTTAAACTTAGAGAATCGATACAATTTCACTACCGTAACTGGCTGTGTATCAAATGATGTTTAGGGCTAATAAATAACCCTTCATCTAGTTACAAAACTTTGACTTGTGTTATGTTTAAAGTTATTTAATTTCATAAACTAGATAAAGCCATAAATGAAATACTAAAGCATAAATAACATTGAAGTAACATATCGATAATGTAGAATGAGATCCGGTTATCTAGAGTATTGTGAATTTAATACTAAGAGTATAAAAACCGAGGATTACTAATGAACTGACATACAACTACTAGATTGTTTTTACAAAGAGCTAATACTATTTTAGCCTTCCATATATATATTGAAAGTCTAGATATTAATTCCTCATAAAACTACCCATGAGGAGCCTAAGAATCTGTCGAAAGTTTGTAAAGTAGTTTTTATGCCGAGTTTAACAAGAAAAAGTATGTACTCCACTTTCAAACAATTGGATAAGCAGTCTCCAAAGCTAAGCGTTCAAGCAGCAAAATCTAGAAATAAGTAATGAAGAACGAGTTTAGACTAAATTGGCGGACAAGAACTTATTTCTTACTAAAGTCCATGTCAATATTTTCTATTTAACACTAAACTAAGAAGCGAAATAAGAACACAGTTGAATAGTGATAAGACTAAAACATTACTATGGAGAAAACATGACTCAAAATCTTTTAGTTAAAGGAATTGCATTTCTCTTTACATATGTGGAGTGAAAAAGTATGAGACTAGAAAGACTGTATGTTAAATGAATAAGTATATATTACTAAACGTTAACGGTTAACTATTCTGCCATAATGATCCCCGTATGTGCAATAATGATTTCTACTGTCTCTCGAAGGCTTAAATTTTCTGTCTTCAGGATAAGGATATGGCCATTGTCTAGAAAAAATTTGGATAAGCTACAAGTGTTTATGGTATACCATATGAAATTTCAACTTCAGGAGGGTTACTGTCTGAGAGTACATTGATCTTTACTAGCATATTAGTATTGGATGCTCGCCACCTCGGTTCACTGAGTATGCTACAAAGGTGTCTACAAAATTTTTGTTATCATATACATACTAACCTAATAGACTCTGTTTTCTGTAGTAATGGATTAAAACGAAATGACATTTTAATAACTGGTTTAAAATTTAACTGTTTGAGAATGGTTTTAGAAACTCTGCTATCGTCGACAGCTAACGGAGAGCGGAAATATTTGATCGAACGTGGCAGTCGCCAAGATTTCTGAAAAGACATTCTGTATCGGCCTAGCCTGACGAAACTTTAAATGTTGGGGGACCGGGGAAAGCAGAGTGAACAAAGAAAGCTGGAATGAAGAACAAGGAGAAAATGAGCTGATGACTCAGTAAGCACATGGAATGCACTTACATTTATTAATGGAAACAGCAGACAGCAGTCAGTAATACCATAGGTGTAAATTAAGACAATTCAACATATAACACTAGGCAAGGATAAGAATACAGCCAGCTGCCAGTTGGAGGTCGCGCCACGTCTCTGTTAGGATTCCTATTGGTTGATTTTTCAAGCGTTTGAGTTGGTGGCGATCTTCACTCTTTAGTAATGAGGGTGGGAGGTCAAGTAACTTATATGAATCCTCGTAATTTGTAGTACTGCGAAGAAGTAATCTAGCTTTGAATATATCAACTGATCGTGTTGGTATTACTTATTCTGGTAGAAATTTCTATCAATTAACTAAGTGATGAGAAAAACAATACCCCAGACGTAAACAATTTGGTCTCAGTTTCGAAGTTTCTTGCAATATCCTCTCACATAATCAGTTCTGGATGGTAGGAAAGAGTGAAACATTATTACCAAATCATAGCTCACTATACGATAAGCAAGTATTAGGTTACCTCATAACCTACGGTATAGTGGAAATAGATTAAGATGTTCCAGTCTGTCTTCATAAGGTCAGTGAAACATATAGTGGCATTCATGTTCAATGAATTTTGTAACGAAAAAATAAGGACAATATTTTTTCTCCCTATATATGACACTATATGTAGTCACACATAGTGTGGTACACTACAACTTAGACCAGACGCTGGCGAAAAGGACCTAATAATTGTTGATTTTCAGGTTGTAAGGCCTCGACAGGGAATGTTACTGAAGCCACTCTGGGTGCAGCACGAAGCCATTTAAATAGGCGTCGGGTCTGTTACACATATGTCCTAAGGTCGCTTGATAAGCGGTCGGAACTAGGTGTACAGACTGACTAGACCAAGCCAGATATAATCGCAGTCACACAAACGTGAATGACACAGTCTATGGATAGTATGGAACTTGATTTTGAGGGCTTTACGTTAGCAAGAGCTGACAGAATCCGGAAGCGTAAATGAGGGGAAGTAGCTCTATTAATTAGGAATGCTATCCCATTTGCAGTTATTGACAGTGTATCCCATGATAGTGGGACATGTGGATTAGTTAGTTGCCGCTTGAAATGCAAGGGACGATGACTGCTAATTGATTTGATCTATCGCAGTCCAAGCTGTGATGTAAATGAAGTCTTGCTAAACAGTCTCACAAAGTGGTCGATGTCTAATCCTGGGGGGGCTTAAAGCACCCATGGCCATTATATAATTGCCAAAAACGAGCACGCATCAGCTCAATCCAGACCTAACGTCTGGAAAGCAAATATGCAAGATATTATACACTCAGCATCGTCAGTATATTGGACAATAGGGCCGGAGTCTCCAATTGAAACGGCTTGGGACGCATTTCCAATTCTATACCTAAAGGTTATTGCACCCCACACACCGTGGGGCAGAGAAACTCTCCACCATGGCTCAGTAAGGAGATTTACATGCTGACCCGTAAGAGAAGAAAAATGTGGGATAGATTTAGGTTACTGGGGACTGACGAGGGAAAATCTCAGTATTGAAAAGCTCGGAATACTTGTGTCTCGACCCTCCGTAATTCTAGAAGGTTGTACGAAGAGAAAGTCGTCAAGAAATTCGTATATAAACCAAAAGACAAAAAGAAGAGGAAATATTCCTGCACTATAGTACTGCTTCATCATTAGTGGAGGACGACTTTGGTAAAGCTCGAGTATTCTCAAAATAATTCAGCAGTGCATATACCACAGAAACACCCTCCCCATCAGTTCATACAAATCCCTCCCACACACACTGGACAGCGTAACCATTAGAGAATTCGATGTCTTTGGTCTGCTAACTAAGCTCGACATAGGCAAATCCACGGGACCCGATGAACGGCATCCTAGGTTACTAAAGGAAGCGGCAGATTTCGTTGCGAACCCTTTATGTATATGCTTTAATCTATCTGTAACCCAGGATAGTTTACCGAGAGACGGGAGGAACGCCATAATAAGCCCCATCTGCATGTTCTTCAGAAGTTTGATAAGATCAAAGGGAAGAGAGTTATTGGTATGGAAACGAAGTGACGATGAAGCTTCCGACGACTGATGAACATATTGTGAGCGGATTATTTAGTGTTTGGTTCTAATATTTTCCTAGGAGGTTCAGTATTTATGTACCAAAATACATTGGTTGTCTCTCACTTATGTTCTCTTTCATATCAATACTAATCCCGTGTAACTCGACTAAGCCCCCATCCAACAATTCTACATAAATCATCAACAATAGTGATATACTAGTAACGCGCATTTCATAAAAATTGTTAGAATATTGTTGTTTAATAGACCAGTTTGCAGTAAGTGTTGTTTGTTACTGTTTTGTTTTACTCATAAATAGACACTTCTGTTTGTGGCGTTAAGTCTTCTTGTTAAATCATTGGTAACTGGTGACCTCATACACTTTTTACGAAACGAAAATCTTAAGTTCACCCGCAACACATTTCTGCATTTCTTTTCCTTTTAGCAGCGATTGTTTTTTATATTTATAATGTTTTCATAGTAGCGTTTTACCCTAACACGGGACAATATAGGAAATAGATATTAAACATTCAACGCGGAGAAAAACCTCAATAATGGTGAAGGCAGGAAGGTCATTAACAGCCTAATCAGGCGACCCACGTACACATCATGCCCACACTGTCGCTAGTCTTGAAGAAAGACCAGATGCATCACATTTAATAATTTCCGATTTCATATTTCGAAGGTCCATATCTAGTTTTCAGAGGACTAAGGACCAAAAAACCACAAAAACGAGCAAATATGACGACCACATCTGTTGGTACCATAGAATGTGTGGCAATAAAACTAGGAAGTGTGTTGGTTTGAGTAGTTTTCCTTGTTCGAAAATGCGTCAACCAGATAGCAGTGGCGACGACTATTGCTAGTTGTGCCTTTAATCTCCTCCTCCGCATTCCTGATAGGGCGATTGGCAACAAGTCCTTGGTAGACACGGAAGCCGAAGTCAATATTATCCCAGTTACCTTAACCAGGAGACCCATTTCCAAATAAAGAGACTATTTATTACAAGCAACCAACAAAACTCGAGTGAAGATATTTAGGGAACAACTCCTGATATTGGCGTTCAGTTGGACTATAACCTACACAGTAGTAAAATCAACACACAAATAAGCAATATATTCGCCCAATTTTTATCCGAATTTCTTAAAATAATGAAACCAGACTATAATAAAAACACTACCCAGCATCCGGTAGTACATGGGATCATTAAAAAAGTCAAACAGTTTCGGCAGATCCACGTCAATCACCACCAGACCAACTTGTCGGTTCAAAGTCCGCATCTGATGAAATCACAGGGCCTGGAATAATACGTCCATTGAGTAGCCCCTGAGCAACCCATCTTCACATGATACTTATGAAGGGTCAGGATTGGTAACTTTGTGATGATTATCGATTGTCGAATGACGTAAAATTACCTGATAGTACCCCGTCCCTTATTTGCACGACTTTTCGCTTACGTTCGCGAGAAATTTTTATGGGATCGATCTTATGTCAGTGTAATATTGCATTGTAGTAGCATCTGAGGACGTGGCAAAACTGGCTCCTTTTGATTTGTTTGAATCCTTGAGAAGGCTATTCAGATTAAATAACACTTCACAGACATTCCAACGATTAATGGATGAGGTCTCTAAAGGCCTAGATTTTGTTTTCATGTATATCGACGATGTATTACTAGTTACCAGTCCACGCCTTGAACATATTGGTCACCTGCAACAACCATCTGAAAAATTTCGTAGATTATGTATAGTTCTTAATCCATTTCAACGCAATTTTTGGAGTCGAAAGCTAAGACTTTTTAGGCCACTCGACCGAAAAACATGGAATCGAAAAAGTAGATCAAAAAATTGCAGCCATAAACAATTTTTCAGAACCATAATATTTGAATAAACCTCGATGTTTCTAGAGGATTTTAACTTCTTTCGTCAGTTAATTTCATACTGTTCGGCCATTCCACAAACCTTAATGGAGGCATAAAGATGTAAAGTCAGAAGGTTCATATATCTTTTCTACAGTTAGACTAGCAATTGTTTCCACAACCACTCTGACTTAAATCCTGACCCGGAGACAACACTAATTCTGTGCACAGATCCGTCTGAGGTATAGTAATACAACAGCGAGTAAATAACGAGACCAAGCCACTTTCTTTTCGAAGAGACTAGAACCAACTCAAACGCGATAAAGCAATCTCAGTAGAGAACCACTAGCCATTTACTTGACAGTTAGACATTTTAAACATTTACTTCAAGATAGGGGTCTCGTGATACTCACTGATCACAAACCTTTGACGCCGAAACCGAACATTTTCTATCCAGAGAGATGCAACAGTCAGATCAAATTTCCTAAGTTTCGACCAATATACAGTTTACAAAAAGTGAATCAAATGTTAAGGCAGATATTTTACCACGTTTCAACGTGGGTGCACTTTGCTCCACTGGACTGGTTTATATTAAACAGTACACGTTTACAGGCCGATTATTCTTATCTCTCTGCGTATAGATAAAATTCAAGTCGAATTTTAAATAGTGCTTAAATACTACATTCCGAGTCCACTATAATTTGCGACACTTCGACTTGCATACACAAACCATTTGTGCTGGTAGTGTACAGAAAGAGAGCTTTTGATTGTTTTCATTCATTATTTCTCCCAGGGATTCATGCTATTGTGAGACTGATCGCAGAAAGACTTGTCTAAACAAAAATGAGTCCAAATATAAAT